ACTATCTTCGAAAGGAGTAGATGAATGAGTTTGACAGAAAACTGCTTGAAATTTTCCCTTTCTCAGATTGCATATTTAAGGGGGAACCTGCCAAGTGTTCAGCGATGCTCTGCATGGTGGCTCCTGGCGGGGACACTGTACCAGCAGCTCAGTGAACGTTTTCCCGAATCCTTGGCTCATCATCCTTTATCACCGGCTCTGTTCCCCACTTCCTACATGCAAGCCTTCTGTAATTCACATACATACTGCACACATTTGAAATGAATTTTGCATACGCACACATGCACGGAGGTCTAGGTGAAGATGCCCAATGTCTGCAGCACCCAGCAGGCTCCTGTATGTCCCCTCTCAGTCAGTGTCCTCCAAAAGGTAGACATTAGTATAGTTTCTATCAATTTAGGTCAGTTTTGCCCTTTTCTTAACATCATACATGGAGTTGTACATTGTGGATTCGCTCACATGTCTTTTTTTGCTTGAAGGTGTGATTTTGAGACCCAACCACATTGTTGTATGTCTCAGGAACTTGTTTTTTTTTTTTTAACCCCTTTGTAACACACCACAGTTTATCCACTCAGCAGCTGAAGGGCACTGGGGTTGTAGCCCATTAGTGGCTACCATAAACAGTGCTGCTGAGGACACGATTGTACAACAACTCTGGTGGATGTGAGAACTCGCATCTACTGGATGTATGTCCTGGAGTGGAATGGCTCCCAGGTACGCCTATACTTAGCTTTGCCGGAGATTCCAAGGCGGTGGTACCAATTTATACTCTGCCTTGGTTGATACCACTAACACTTCATTATTTCCCCATACTGTGTTTTGGCCATTCTGATGGGTGTTTGCTGTACCTCTCTGAGGTCTCGATTTGCCTTTCTCTGATGACAAATGACGCTGAGCACATTTTAACGTCTATGGGGCCACAGGGGTATTTCGGGTATAGGCGCACATGTGCGAATTGCCTGTTTAATGTTTTGACCATTCTTAAAAAATGAATTTTGTCTTTTTTCTTATTGATTTGTAGGATCATCTTTACATTTTGGATGTGAGTTATTTAACCACTGTATGTAACATAAATACCTTCTCCCACTCTGAGACTTCCCAGTTTACTCTCTTAATGGTGTAATTTGAAGAATAGCTGTTCTTAATTTGAACGAAAGACACTGTACCCATCTTTTATTTTACGATAGTGCTTTTGTGTCCCATGTAGTAAATTTTTGCTTACTTCAGGTCTATGACAGTGTTTTAAACCAAAGTATAGAGCTGGGGGGTATGTTAAAAGAGTGTCTGTGTACACCTGAAATGGCTTTTAGGACCAAGATGGCAGAAGATCCACTCATCAGAGCCCACCCCACCCCTCCCGGCCTCGCTCTGTTTCCTCTTCCTTCATGAGATGCTGCCAACCAGCTTCCCTTCCTGCTCGTCTCAGAAAGGGCTCAGATGAGTTCATCTCATCTGTCGGTAAGTTTTCAGAAAGACTAGAGGCGGAACTGCACTCCACCACGACCACCACTCAGAAATTCAACTCAGGCAGAAGACACAGAAATGACACGACGTGGACAAAGAGTCATTCACCAGGTATATTTGAAATCTAAGCTCTTTGAGCTATACACGTGCACAAATGAGTCAGTTGGTGGAACTCTCCCCCTCCCCCTCCACATTTAAACTTTTCAAAGTTAAAATAGTGCCAAAGAGGTTTGCGTCATGTGTTTCATGGAGATGCGGAGGCCATCCCGACTTTCACAGCGCTCAGAGCTTCCATGGAAACACTTCAAGGCATCCCTTCTGTTTCTGCCCCCCTTTCCTGGGACACATTCCTCTCCCCACGGCCCCAAACCCAACCTCGTGGAAGAATGACTTTCTCTGAGGCAGGTGAACATGGACATTTTGCAACAAATGTTACCAGGACTAACCACTTACGTCATATACGCCATGAATTTTTATTTTTATTTTTGATGACACAGAATAGTCATTTCAACTTTTGCTGAATTTGGTTGGAAAGGTCTGATGGATTTCTTTTAAAACATTGAAAAGCCATTCCTAAATAGTTTCTCTCATCCAGATGTCGCTAGAACCTGCCTTCTGAAAATTCTGTGTCTATTAACATAGCAAAGGACCCACCAAGCACTGAGAAGAGACAGCACAAAACGGCTGTCCGCTGTAGCTCTCAGGTCCTCTGAGCAGCAGAGGCCAAGATTTCCTCCACTAGAGGGCAGCATTTCTCCACAATCGAGTCAGATACTATTTGCCCATGAAAATGCAAAAACCTCCACAGCAAAGGAAAGTCAAAGCATTTGCTTATTAGACACTCCTCAGGTTACATTTTTAAAAGGAGCCTTCATTTTTTTTTTTATGGAAACTCAGGATTTGACAAGCAAGGCTGTCCTCAGTTTCACCTGTACTGTGTCCAGTACTATATTGCTATATTCACAGTAGAACGGACTTTAAATTTCTGAGTGATCAGTCTCATGTTTGTTTCTGATGAAACTAACATATACCTTAGTCAAAAAAAAAAAAACAAGCCACAACAATCCTTCCATCGGGTGGCTGTGTGTGTTATTGTTCTTGTGTGTTTCTCTGAGGGTGATGAAAGTATTTCCCCCACTCCGTCACAACGGGCATTTGCAGCTAAAGTAACTCATTAACAGACGGGGGTGGATGAGACCTGGCACACAGAGCAGAAGGTGATGGTTCTACAGGTGTAGCTTCCGTAATGCACTTTGGGCTAGAGAAATAGAAAAATCACACGTAACGAAAACAAACACGTTTTTGAGCAACAGGGGCTTCGCATGAGGAGGACTGTACATGTCCCTCTCTCCAGCTCCCCCTTTTAATGTGCTCTGTGGCTGCTACACTGACTTAGCTCCATTCACATTGGCTGCAACTGACACTTGCGTCTTCACTTTATTTAAAAACAAGTGGCCTTGCCAGCAAAGGTGCTGGCTAATCATTTCCATATTGGCATGAGAAGTTTTGTGCCCTTTCAAAATTCAGCATTACCCCTAGTACAGTGCAGTATTATCAGATGACCTGGACTAGTGTACGAATGCGTTCATAAGCGATACACAGACGTCGTTAAGCAGCGAATGGCTGGAACAGTCACTAAATAAAAACATCCAGATTTTTAAAAGCACAGCTGAAACATTTGTACAAATATACAAAGGGGGGGGGGAACCAACAACAATCATTCAGACACTGTGAAACTTTTGTAATAAATAGATTCGTCTGAAATCGGTCTCCATCGCCCTGGGCGAGCCTTCCCCAAGGAGGCTGGGAAAGTTCTACAGGGAAGTCATGTTCGAAACCTACTGAGGGGTATCTTTTGGGGCCCAGCTCAGTTTTTGCCTCCAGGAATTTCAACAGAGCTATGAAGTATTGGACTCAAAAGAGTGGCTAGACCCAGACTTGGGAAGCTGGACGATGCTGATAAATTTCCTAATCTAGAAAGGACATGGCTGGATGCAGACAATCTGTGACTTTAGCACATCCTCAAATCATGGAAATAAATGCTGGTGATCATGCATGTCCTGGGAATGCCGGGATGCAGAGGACTGAGTGAGACCAGACAGGGGTATCTCATGCAGTCAAAGTCAAGTTTACTTATGGTCCTACTTAAAGTGGCCAGGAAAAAAAAAAAAAGCAAACAAACAAAAAAAACCAATGCACACACGTCAGGAGCGGGACTGGAACGGCTCACAAACAACACAGATGCTATTTGTCACTGATGTCTCTGGCTTGGATCAACAAGAGAGTATGAAGGTCTAGGCTGTGCTGATCGTTTAATAAGAAAATACTACTTTTTTTTTCTAGAACCTTCTAAATAATGGATTATTCTGGATGGGTATGGTATGATCAGGAAACGTGTCACCTTTTCCTAGCCCTTTTGTCCGAGAGGCTTGATTACAAGGAAAGAATCTCAAACAACCAAACACCCAGGGATTTAAAGGCAATTTTCTTTTTTTTTTTTGACAAACAACAGGGGGTGAGGGAAAAAGCATGATCAAGAGGAGACAGATATTCTCTTGGAGGCGGAGCGGCGAGCTCAGTTGGACACGGAGGGCGGCAGGCCGGGACGCCGGGTCTGGATGATTTTTGGCTTGGGGGACGTCTTTGGATCCTCTTCTTCCTCGATGTCACTGTCACACACGTGCACGACGACACTTGGGGTGGACTCCGTCCCTGCGTGGAGCTCATACTTCTCTCCTGAAAAGCAAGAGAAAGCGGGGTGAGGAAGGCGGAGGGATCTCTGAACAGGACGTGGGAGGAACACTGTCCGGAGTCCCAGGGCGTGCCGGCTCTGATCCAGGGATGGGGCTGCAAAGCGGGACTAGCGTGAGCTGTCACTGCATCTCAGCTCTACCACCTCCCCACTGCGCAAGCCTGAGCCGGCCACCTAACCTCTCTCAGCCTCAGCACGCTCGACTGCAAACTTCAGAAGGGTGCTGACTACAGACCACAGGATGGTGGCGATGCCTACGTGGGTGTGGCAGTTACTTACCAAGTTTCTCTTCCATTTCCCAGCATCGCCGCTAACTTCTGAGTCACCTTGAGCCCATCGCTTCACTTCCGCATCTTTTGGACAAGGCCGTCTCTAAGTTATCCTCCAGCGGTCCCTTTCTTATCACAAGAGCTGGCCCAGGATGGAAGAAGGTGGATTGCCGCTGTCTGGGATTTGTACTGGGTACTGGGTAGCTGGGTTAGACGACTGTCGAGATCCTTGCCAGTTCCAAGGCTCTGTCATTCCTGACAGGTTCGTCTTGGAGTCAGGTCACTACTAGCCAGCTGGCCCCCTGTCTGTCTCTGTTTCATATTAGGAGCATCTCCCTGGTCTGGCCCATTGCAGGGCATAAAGGATACCAGGCAAAATAAAAAAAACTAGGTGTGTCTTTTGCAAGAGCACAGCCTTGTGATGATGGCATGTGGAAACAGGAAGGGTCACAAAACAAGACAGTAAGCACTGGAGTGGCAATTATGTCAAGGACGATGGTACCAAATTGTAAGGAGCAAGTGGCTCTAAAAGGCTTCCCAGGGGGAGGAGACAAGCTGGCTTGGGTCTAAAAGACAAGCAGAAGATGCTCAGGAGGTGGGCAGGTGCAGGGGGCCTTCTCGCGCTGCATGCTGGTCACTTCCCGACTGAGCTGCTGACGTGCTTACCCTAATCTTCCCCCGACACCTGTCCTTCACTTCTCATCCTTCGTGAATGGGAAACACCTGAACGCGTGTCTCCCAGACACCCTCCTGGTCACGGACTCTCGGAGTCTTGCCAGATCAAGTCCTCATTTTTCAGACTAGGACAAAAAAATCTCTCACCAATTGTGACAGCCATATTTCTATACCCAGCACATTAGCTACTTTTATGTGGCAGAGTCTCACCTGGTTCCCTAAATCCTGACCTCCCTCCAGGATAAAAGCCAGACACCCCTCAGTCCGGGAATTTTGCCTGTGATCCGCAGCCTGCGGGGGAAAGTGTCCCTTCTGGATGGCCAGAGCCAGGGCTGTCAGTTCCAGTGCTATGGTGGCATTTACCTGCCGTTGTGCACACCTTGGTAAGCATCAGTGGTGCAAATATCAAATGCTTGCAAGGCACAGTTTTAGATCCTGTGCTGACGTTAGGGAACGAGGAACACTGATAATGCAATAAAGCACCAGACCTCTTCTATGTGATGCTGGGAGGGATGTGTTTGGAGTCAGCCATCAATACGGGTTGAACTGTGTCCCCCGCATTCCCCTCCAAGATACTGAAGTCCTAATCCCGAGCGCCTACGACTGTGACTTTATTTGGAAGTAGGGTCTCCACAGATGAGTAAGTTCAAATGAGGCCATGAGGGTGGGCCCTACTTCAAAATGACCAGTGTCCTTATAAAAAGGGGAAATCAGGACGCAGCAGTGCAGTCACACACGGAGAACCCACGTGAGGACTGGAGTTCTGCTGACCAAGCCAAACAACTACGGAAGCTACAGGAGAAGCCTGGCACAGATCCTCCCCGGGCGTCTCCAGAGGGAGCGCGGCCCTGCTGACGCCTTGATCTCCGACGTCCACCATCCAGAACATGAGGCCATACGTTTTCGTCGTTTAAGCCGCCCAGTTTGTGGTGCTCGGTTATGGCAGCCCTAGTGGACGAGTGCAGCCACGTCCTGCTCAGTGTGTCCTCTCTCTGTCACGCGTCAGACAGGCCTCTGCTGGACCCTGCTCAACGTCCTGGTGTGTAAGGCAAAGGCTTTCCTGGATGAGGACAGCGGACCGTCCCCAGGAGCGGAGTGTGACACCTCCAGCACGTCCCTGATCTTGGCGGCAGCAGAGAGGGAGAGAACTAGCCAGAGCCAGAGAAATGTGGCCATGAAGACTCAATAATTTAAAGTCTAGATTGTGTGAAGTCGTAGGTAGAGAGATGTGTCGACAAGGTTGAAATCTCTGGCACAGTGAGCCCTCAGAGACCGGTTTGCATTCAGGAGCGGAGAGGGACAGACACAGGGACACGGAGCAGAAGCAGGAAGGAGAACCCTGTTTGAGTCCCTCATGCGAGGCTCTGCCTCCTCACTGGAAAGCGGACATCGACGGTCTGCACAGATCTAATGCCGCCGTAACCCATGCCGCAGTTACTGTGCAACACGCACTTGTAGTTGTGCTGTGTGTGTAGACACTGCCCACAGCTTGCTGAATTGGGTCTGTTTTGTTCTCCTTAAAGCAGTCTGTGTTTTTTATCCAAATCCCAAGAGAGAAGAACCACTTGACGTTGCTCAGGAGAGCAAGCGGCGTGAAGCTGCTCTTCATCTGAGAGTTCCGGGCGACAGGTGGGCAGACCTGGCTGGTGGCACCTTTGAGCAGTGGCTTCCAAGCATCTGACAGTTTACTGGGGGTGCTTGCTGAAAACAGAGTTTACCAGCATGGGGATGCATCCCTGCAAATTCAGAGGCTGCGATGCCTATTTTGGTACCCAGCACGCCCAGGTGCTTCTCTGTGTTTCAGCGTCCTGGTGGCCACTGTTACACGGCTTGATGTGACAGGCAGGAGGCTGCGGTCCTGTGGGGATGCTAGCATGTAAATAACCTGCCCCTGCCTTCCTCCATCCTGCATCCTAATTGTTCACTGGAAAAGGATGCTAGTGCAGGTAGCGGAGGGAGGGACACTGAGGATGCAGCTGGGAGAAGCGGTGAGGCATCCCAGATCAGCTCTGCAGCCCCTCCCAGCCCCAGGGCTAACTGATCTTCTCATCTTTGTTTCTGGGAGAACAGCAAATCCCAAAGACAGTGATTGAGTTCACTAATTTTCTCTTTGAGGAAAGCTTCGCCATTCTGATTGAGAGACAGTTTTGACAAAGACAGAGAAAGAAACAATTTCTGAGTAATCAGATGGTGTGATTCTTGTTTTTCTGTATAGAATTTCTTTGAAGTTTTCACATTTGGAGAAGAAGCGCCTTCTGCAGGCACACGAGGGGCCCCCGTGGCCCTGTCCGTTGCCCTGTTGGTTGAGATGCAGGGATGAAGTGGGTGGCGGCCTCTCATCCTTTGATGTAGGGATGTCAGGTAAGAATCTGCCACAGCAGAGTGAGAGTGGAGACCGTGGGGCTCAGGAGTGGCAACGGTGACAGCAGGGACCCTGACCAGCAGACTGACCAGACGCTGCCCTTTTCTGCATCTGTTGGAAAGAAGCTAGCTTTTTTTAAAAAATAAGAATAAAATATACATAATGAAGCTAGCCTTTCGATGAAACCCTTTCTTTGCCGTGGCTTGGATAGAGAACATTTCCTCAAAGACACCTCCAGTTGCAATGTGTTTATAGCTTCAAAAGTAGACGTTCTCCTCCCAGACTAGGTGTGCCGGGGACGCCCTCGGGATGGGGGGCGGGTGGTCTCAGGCACAGGGGGCCATCCTGGGCTGGGCAACTTCCACGTCGATCACTTGGTCATAGAGCTATTTTATTGCTGTGATCCCATTAACGCTGACATTTCACTGTTCTATTTTTGGAAACTTTTTCTTACTATCAAAATCCAGCAAAGCCACACAGCTGCTGAGAGCCCACAGGATAAAAACAAACAGCTTGGTCTAGCTGGATTGAATTTTTCTGTTTTGGGCCGCTCTTTCCCTTTGGGCTTCAGCTAATTCCTCTACCGTGAAGGCTGACGTCAGTGCTGTCACCCTGCAAGGGGACCAACAGGGCTTAGCAGGCGACAAGGACCATCTTAGCTGCACAGGGCGGGGCAGGTCCTTCCACGGTGCAGGGAGCCCAGCCAGGCAGACCAGCAGGTCTGTTCAAGGGCAGGCCCAGGCTCGGCCGTCACATTCTCACTCCTCTCGTCTATACTAAACTGTCCTTTCCCCGTGGGCAGAAACGAGGCCGGGACCAAAAGCTCTCTGAAAATGCACCCATCAGGCTTTTCCACCTCCCTCCATGGAACAAAGTTCCAGCCAAGCAAATGCAGAATCCTCTAGCATATGGTCACAAGTTCAGTTCTCATTCAGGCCTTTGCAACTGACAGGGGTTTGTTCAAAATAGACGCCAGAGTCCTGTCTCCTCTTTCCCAGGTGAATGGAGACAGGTGACAATGTCCCGAGGGGGAAGCGGAGGTGCCCGTGGGCTGCTCCCTGTTCTCAGGGGGGAGGAGTCAGGTTCCTGTGCTGCCCAGGGGGCTGGGGGCCGTGGTGACTTGGTCCTGGTACAATCGCAGAGGAGTGGGTGCGTGACTGGGGGTCCGAGTGTCTCTGGAAGTTCTCCATCACACCTCCGTTGACTTATGAGCCACGATTTGCTCCCTTCTTGAATTCTCTCTAAACGAATCGGTGTAATTACACACGGTTGATAAAAATCAGCATAATGCAGATGAGTAAAGGCGGGGGAGGACACACAGCTTGAGCTGTGTGTTGAAGCAGAGGTGGGGCTGTTCAGATTCCTAAAGGGAAACCTTCCTAAAACGTGGCTGCCTCCTTGGACGATTTCTTGTCTGAGTTCTGCCAAGGAAGGGATGGAACCCTGCGCTGGAGGCTTCCAAAACACAGCAAGGTCTAGCAGGAGCGAGGCAAAGGCCTGCTTTCTCCCTCAGCCTCACGGCTCTTCTTCTTGGAAGATCCTTTCTCTGGGACAACATGTGCTCCCCATTCCTGTCTCTGCGAGGAGCTACGTACCCGGGCCTGATCTCACCCGCATTTCAGTTTACTGACGTCTCTATGTAAATCTGCTGCTATTTTCCAAACTCACGTATCTAACG